GGAAGCCTTCTCCAAAAGGTCAGCCAAGATCACTTCTGGATCATCTTGCAAAGGTAATTAAATTATTCCTGGCTAGCCTTAGTCAGCTAGTTTGAAGGAGGTATAATCAGGTATAATGATTGATGATAATCTTGTCAAACATTTTAATGGAATTATTACTCCCAGAGACTAACGTGTAAACACCCAGAGGTCTTCCTGTCTACCCTTTCGGGCATGTCAGAGGTCAGCCACCTGCAGGGTGAGTGTTTGGCTGTGCAAACATTCGTGAGGAAACCGTTCCATCCCTCTCTTACCCCCATAATTAATATTCCCCTCCTTGAAGAGGTGTATGGTGGTTGTCAAACAATTTAATGGTAAAATTATTGAGAGTGCACGTGGGGGCGGACCACTTACAAGCCTCAATGTAGGTTAGCAACAGCAAATCTCCCCCCGCTCTTTTCCAGCTGATATGAGGTGTGGCAGCTTTGGGGTGTGTGTGTATGTATCCCTGTATGGGAGTTAGGAAGGGAGAGTGTTGGAGGCAGAGAGGTAGTGTGGGCTGCAGGTCATCAAGCGGTCCACCAGGAGACCCAGGTCATACAGCAGGACCCAGGAAGTAATGTGTGTCTGGTCTTAGATAGTTTCCATGTGTGATGTCTTCACCATTGACAGTGTTAGGGTAGAGGATTTATAGTTTGGTGAATATCATATTAGGTTCTAAATAAACCCGTGTTAAACTTTCTATCTTTGTTTTCGTCAATTAATGGAACCTCCTAATGCTCTGAGTTCAGTTTTGTTAACAACCGGTCAGTTATTAATGACAGCAAGAAGAGGGCTCTCAAAGCCAAGCAATGCTTCTTGTCTCATTGGTTGATATAACTATCACTAGGCGGGATGGTGGCAGCATAATTAATTAATTTGATCTCTGTGTAGCATTTCCTTGGAAGGGTACCATTGGTTCCGGGAGTGGTCATCCGTGGTACACAATATTTTGGTTCATATTACACTACATCTAAATTACCAATATTTCAATAACTAGTATCATCAAGGTTTTTCCCAATTAAAGTGCTACCAAGTGCAACCAGTAGGAAGTGTTACTCAGTATATATTAGTATTATCAAGGGCACCCAACCACTGAGACCAAGCGGGGAGGAACCTTTAGTCATACAACAACCATGTTATAGCGATGATTTCATGAAGCCGCACATTGTATTATGTGCTGCATACACTGCGTTATGTAATGTATACATTCTAATATGCCTAAAACTAACTTACATATCAAGGTTCAATTTAAATTGCTTTCGAAGGCAGCACTGAAGACTAACACAGCCACAGGTTGTGCACCCTTGACTTAGACCATCGAGGTGTAACACCACTATAAATATAAACTAATAATGTAACACTACTACTTATACTGAGTAACACTTCCTATCGTTTGCACTTGGTAACACTTTGCTATTGAACACTGTATTTATATTTAACGTAATATGAGCTGACATATGATGGTTACCGGCACCAAAGGTATCCAAAAAAAGGAAATGCTACACAGGATTAACTACGCTGCCACCATCTGCCTTGTCCATTGAGACTATATCAAGCAACGAGGCAAGAAACATTGCTTGACTTGGAGAGTACTTTCTTTAACTGTCATTAATTATGGGACGGTTGTTAGCAAACTATATCCAGAGACTAAGAGGCTCCAACAATTGACAAAGACGGAAAGTTTAACACGAGTTTATTGAGAACAAATTATGTTAATCACCACTTATAAATCCTACTCTAACACTGGCCAATAGTTAAGAAATTTAGACATGAAACAAAACCCTCAGAGATCACACTTTACCTTAAGACCTCTGTCTCTCCCTCCGGTGGATTCACTCTGTCCCTCCCTGGCTGTGAGATGTTCTTCACAGACTCACTCTGGACCCTGGTGTCTGGCACTCTCTCCAAACTAAGTCTGCTACAGGACCATATATACACCCCAAAAAGGGGGAGGGGGGGGAGATTTGGTGTTGCTACCTACACCGAAGATGCAAGAGGTCGTGCCACACGTGCACAAACACTTACGTGTGTGACTGACCTTTGACCTGGCTAAAAGGGGGAGATCCATGGATGTTTACACATAAGAATCTGGGGTCTAATTCCATTGCAATGTTTGACAAGAGTATCATGAAATATTACATCCTTGAAACTATGCTGACTAAGACTAACCCAGGAATTTTTAATCAACATACAAGATAATCCGGAGGTCATCTGGGCTGACCTCTTGGAGAAGGCTTCCCTGGGTGTGAACTCTAGGGGGGCGGGGTCATGGGTGTTACAGAGGATCGAACACCGACCTTGCAAGGTACAGGGCTGTCGTCTTACCGACCAGCCCACAGGTTGCTTAAGCAAGTGCATGTGTAGACGATCAAGTGGGAGGCGCTAAATGAAGCAGTTGTGGAAGCCACCTCCATCCCCCAACCTTAAGGAGAAAATCGACGAAGAATTAGACAGTGAGAATAGTTTCATTGTTACGCCAGCAAGGCTCGTAAACGGAGAGTGAACGGCTACACTTCACTGTCCACCCATCTCTATATATATTGAATGGTAACCGTGTAAGCTCTCTGGTACACATCACTATGCTGGGGTTGTTGACTGCGGGACACACAGCGGTCGCATGTCAGTGGAAGAATGATACTTTTGTTTAGCATTGGGCTCAAGGCTTATCAACTTCAGGAGCCTTATGACACCACCACAATACTGTCCAACAGTAAGTACAAACTTTAGTGTATATACATCTGTGTATATACAGTGAGAGGACTAAAACATCCTCTTAATGTATATACACGGAGAAGCAGAGCACACTGCTCCCAATTTGTATATGATTTACACCGAGAAGTAGAGCACTCTGTTCCCTATTTCTCCCTGATTTAATTATATACTCACCATCATCTTGCATCAGATAAGTTAGACGTTTTCTTGTAAGTCTGCATTTGAGAGAAAATATTTCTCCTAAAATCATATTGCATTTTAAAACACAGATTAATATGATAACACAGAATTACTTCTCTGGAAGACGCTGCGGCATGGCCATCAACGTTGTAATCACAGATAATGCTTACAAGCAAGTATATAGGGAGCACAAACCGGTTTACTGTGTTGAATGGCGGCTGACTGAAGCAGTCAAGTCAATGTGGACTTGGGATGGTTCCTACAGCCTGACTTCTTCTTCAGAGGTAATGATTTTTGTTTATCTGTAGTGACACGTTGTGAGATTAGTGGTTCAACACTGTGTTGGATGATTGGGGGAGATTAGTGGTTCAACACTGTGTTGGATGATTGGGGGAGATTAGTGGTTCAACACTGTGTTGGATGATTGGGGAGATTAGTGGTTCAACACTGTGTTGGATGATTGGGGAGATTAGTGGTTCAACACTGTGTTGGATGATTGGGGAGATTAGTGGTTCAACACTGTGTTGGATGATTGGGGGAGATTAGTGGTTCAACACTGTGTTGGATGATTGGGGAGATTAGTGGTTCAACACTGTGTTGGATGATTGGGGTGTTGATGATTGATTAGTGGTTCAACACTGTGTTGGAGTGGTTCAACACTGTGTTGGATGATGGGGGAGATTAGTGGGGATGATTTAGTGATTCAACACTGTGTTGGATGATTGGGGAGATTAGTGATTCAACACTGTGTGGATGATTGTGGGTGTTGGAGATTAGATTAGTTGTTCAACACTGTGTTGGATGATTGGGGGAGATTAGTGGTTCAACACTGTGTTGGATGATTGGGGGAGATTAGTGGTTCAACACTGTGTTGGATGATTGGGGAGATTAGTGGTTCAACACTGTGTTGGATGATTGGGGAGATTAGTGGTTCAACACTGTGTTGGATGATTGGGGGAGATTAGTGGTTCAACACTGTGTTGGATGATTGGGGGAGATTAGTGGTTCAACACTGTGTTGGATGATTGGGGGAGATTAGTGGTTCAACACTGTGTGGATGATGATTGGGGGAGATTAGATTCAACACTGTGTTGGATGGATGATTGGGGAGATTAGTGGTTCAACACTGTGTTGGATGATTGGGGGAGATTAGTGATTCAACACTGTGTTGGATGATTGGGGAGATTAGTGGGGAGATTCAACACTGTGTTGGATGATTGGGGAAGATTAGTGATTGTTGGATGATTGGGGGAGATTAGTGGTTCAACACTGCTGGATGATTGGGGGAGATTAGTGGTTCAACACTGTGTTGGATGATTGGGGGAGATTAGTGGTTCAACACTGTGTTGGATGATTGGGGAGATTAGTGGTTCAACACTGTGTTGGATGATTGGGGGAGATTAGTGATTCAACACTGCTGGATGATTGGGGGAGATTAGTGGTTCAACACTGTGTTGGATGATTGGGGGAGATTAGTGGTTCAACACTGTGTTGGATGATTGGGGGAGATTAGTGGTTCAACACTGTGTTGGATGATTGGGGGAGATTAGTGGTTCAACACTGTGCTGGATGATTGGGGGAGATTAGTGGTTCAACACTGTGCTGGATGATTGGGGGAGATGTGGTTCAACACTGTGTTGGATGATTGGGGGAGATTAGTGGTTCAACACTTGATGGGGGAGATTAGTGTGTTCAACACTGTGATGATTGGGGGAGTTAGGTTCAACACTGTGTTGGATGATTGGGGGAGATTAGTTGTTCTGTGATTGGGGGAGATTAGTGGTTCAACACTGTGCTGGATGATTGGGGGAGATTAGTGGTTCAACACTATGCTGGATGATTGGGGAGATTAGTGGTTCAACACTGTGCTGGATGATTGGGGAGATTAGTGGTTCAACACTGTGTTGGATGATTGGGAATCCAGACCTCTGGACTAATACCTCTGGACTAATACCTCTGGACTGATACCTCTGGACTAATACCTCTGGACTGATACCTGTGGACTAATACCTCTGGACTAATACCTCTGGACTGATACCTCTGGACTGATACCTCTGGACTGATACCTCTGGACTAATACCTCTGGACTAATACCTCTGGACTAATACCTCTGGACTGATACCTCTGGACTGATACCTCTGGACTGATACCTCTGGACTGATACCTCTGGACTGATACCTCTGGACTAATACCTCTGGACTAATACCTCTGGACTGATACCTCTGGACTGATACTTCTGGACTGATACCTCTGGACTGATACCTGTGGAAAAATACCTCTGGACTAATACCTCTGGACTAATACCTCTGGACTAATACCTCTGGACTGATACCTCTGGACTGATACCTCTGGACTGATACCTCTGGACTGATACCTCTGGACTGATACCTCTGGACTAATACCTCTGGACTAATACCTCTGGACTAATACCTCTGGACTGATACCTCTGGACTGATACCTCTGGACTGATACCTCTGGACTGATACCTCTGGACTGATACCTCTGGACTGATACCTCTGGACTAATACCTCTGGACTAATACCTCTGGACTGATACCTCTGGACTAATACCTCTGGACTGATACCTCTGGACTGATACCTCTGGACTAATACCTCTGGACTGATACCTCTGGACTGATACCTCTGGACTGATACTTCTGGACTGATACCTCTGGACTGATACCTGTGGAAAAATACCTCTGGACTAATACCTCTGGACTGATACCTCTGGACTGATACTTCTGGACTGATACCTCTGGACTGATACCTGTGGACTAATACCTCTGGACTAATACCTCTGGACTGATACCTCTGGACTGATACCTCTGGACTGATACCTCTGGACTGATACCTTTAGACTGATACCTCTGGACTAATACCTCTGGACTGTTCCATCTCGTATCTTAAGCTTGCGTCAAGTCCAAGGACCACACAATAGTTATCAAAACCTTATCTGTAAATGGTTCTCCAGCGTGGGAGCTTCTTCCTGTAAATGGCTCGTACTTGTTAATGGTCCTAATTCTTGTAAATGTCTGTCAACATTTCGGTTTTGTTGGCTTGTAAATGTCTTTTAAATATTAAATATTTTACAAAATTATTCAAATATCTCATAATTGTAAATGTTTCTTGAATATAAATGTCTCTTACAGCTAGAAATATTCTTCGTGTTTTGAAATGCTTCTGAACTTTCTTTTTTAAATTTGCAACTGTATCACACTTTTATATGGCTTATAGTAAACCTCTGTGTCTCTCTAATTCAGCTTCGTGGCACAGTTGGCTTCGTTCTCCACTCAATTGGGGATCCTGGGTTCGATGCCCTGGTGGACCAGAATGGTTAGACACATTTTTTTCACCCAATTCTCCTGTTCAGCTAGCAGTATAAGAGGCGCCCAGGAGTAGGGGAACTCACATCACCGCTCCTGTGCCAGGTAAGTTCACTACGGGCTCACCCTAGCCAGTGCTACTTGCCCCGCTCCTGTGCCAGGTATGTCCACTACGGGCTCACCCTAGCCAGTGCTACTTGCCCCGCTCCTGTGCCAGGTAAGTCCACTACGGGCCCACCATAGCCCGTGCTACTTGCCCCGCTCCTGTGCCAGGTAAGCTACGGGCTCACCATTGCCCGTGCTACTTGGAACTTGTTCCAAGTAGCTGAATCTATAACAACAACAATAGGGGAACTATTTTTTATTGTTGCAGCCGGAGACGGCTAGGTTATTGTGCAACCCATACTCATCCTGTGAGCCGTAGCGCAAAAAGGATTACAGAGGGCACAAAGGTCTTTATCACACCTCAACGGAGATTGAGGTGTGATATAACTTCAATAACTACATCTAACCTACATACTGTATAACTATAACATCAGTTAGATACACAAAAATCATTACAATATCGATGTATTTACAATCAATTGTTGTACAATGACGTATGATATCCCCAATGATGTGGGGATATCACAGAGGTGCTTCTGTTTGTTACTATTAGTCTTCACACAACACTGCTATTGGTAATCTCATATGTCATTTATCCACTAGACACGTAACATGGATAGTGTGCAGATTTATGATAGATAAGTAGAGCAACATGTTCGACAGTCTTAATTGTCTTACTTGCCTCATACTGGCACATTTGTATGTGAAATTGCATTCTGTGGATTGTAACACCCATGAACTCCAAGTTTACACCCAGGGAAGCCATCTTCAGAGCTCAGCCCAGGTGACCTCTGGATCATCTTGCAGAGTTAATTGAAATATTTCCAGGCTAGACCCTAGTCAGCTTGTTTCAAGTAGACGATATTAATCAATAGTCTTGTCAAACACTATTAATATAGTTGTAACACCCAGAGACGTTCCTTCCCCCCTTCTGCCAGGTCAGAGGTCAGCCACCTGCAGAGTTGAGGGTTTGGTTGTGCAAACCTTCGTGGTGGAAACATTCCTTCATCCTTCTCCCTTCCGTAATTAATCTTCGCCCTCCTTGAGAAGCCTATCATAGTTGTCAAACAATTTAATGGAAAGATTTCCCAATGTTTTTGCACGTGCGAGCTGAGTTGGTGATCAAATGTGTAGTGTAACTTGTGTTACAAAGTGTTACCAAGAGCAACCAATAGGAAGTGCTACTCGGTTAGATTCAGTTATCAAGGATTAGTATAATCTAGTGTTACAATATGGTCATGTTGCTTGACCTTAGAGGGGGGTTTACCTCGTTTCAAGTCTAAAGTATATATATATATATACATAGGCTGCCTGTCCCTGACAAAAATGATTAATTATCACTCAATACAATGTTTTTATACTTGTTCAAATCCTATTGTAATTACGCTTTACAAAAGTCTCGTAGTATGTATATATGTATATATATATATATATATATATATATATATATATATATATATATATATATATATATATATATATATATATATATATATATATATATATATATATATATATATATATCCTGTAGACATATATTAAAATATGACCGAAAAAGTAAGATTAATAATTCTAACACGAATTTTCTCAATCTTTCGTACATTACGCTTCACTGTTGGAGGTAAATCAAAAATCACTTCTCCAAAATTCATTTTTATTTCTAGTCTGACGCGACACGGGCGCGTTTCGTAAAACTTATTACATTTTCAAAGACTTCACAAATACACAACTGATTAGAACTTGCGTTTCCCTGATTTTATATCTACATTTGAGTGAGGTGGGAAGGGTGATGTGGCATTACATTTGAGTGAGGTGGGAAGGGTGATGTGGCATTAACACAAGACAGAACACTAGGGGATATTAATAGGGTATTAAAAGTATCAACACAAGACAGAACAGAAACAATGGGTATTGAATAGAAGTGTTTGTAGAAAGCCTATTGGTCCATATTTCTTGATGCTTCTATATTGGAGCGGAGTCTTGAGGTGGGTAGAATATAGTTGTGCAATAATTGGCTGTTGATTGCTGGTGTTGACTTCTTGATGTGTAGTGCCTCGCAAACGTCAAGCCGCCTGCTATCGCTGTATATATCGATGATTTCTGTGTTGTTTACTAGGATTTCTCTGGCGATGGTTTGGTTATGGGAAGAGATTATATGTTCCTTAATGGAGCCCTGTTGTTTATGCATCGTTAAACGCCTAGAAAGAGATGTTGTTGTCTTGCCTATATACTGGGTTTTTTGGAGCTTACAGTCCCCAAGTGGGCATTTGAAGGCATAGACGACGTTAGTCTCTTTTAAAGCGTTCTGTTTTGTGTCTGGAGAGTTTCTCATGAGTAGGCTGGCCGTTTTTCTGGTTTTATAGTAAATCGTCAGTTGTATCCTCTGATTTTTGTCTGTAGGGATAACGTTTCTATTAACAATATCTTTCAGGACCCTTTCCTCTGTTTTATGAGCTGTGGAAAAGAAGTTCCTGTAAAATAGTCTAATAGGGGGTATAGGTGTTGTGTTAGTTGTCTCTTCAGAGGTTGCATGGCTTTTCACTTTCCTTCTTTCATCGAAGACATCATAAGAAGGAAAGTGAAAAGCCATGCAACCTCCGAAGAGACAACTAAGAAAATTCGTGTTAGAATTATTAATCTTACTTTTTCGGTCATATTTAATAATATATATATATATATATATATATATATATATATATATATATATATATATATATATATATATATATATATATATATATATGTATATTTCCTGTTTCAACTTGTATATATATATGAGCCTCTGACATTCTATGAGGTGGAGGCACAGGAGGTTCACAACTTTCATGCATAAGAGAACTCTACATTTGTATTACTGGCAAAGCTTCTGTTTGATTATCAAATATACTGATGTGTGGCAAAATGAGTTGAGCTTCTGTAAGCCTTGCTCAGACCCGCCAAGCCAAGCTGATCCACTCGAAACCTTGTTTAACTCTTCCTAACCCAGCTGAACCTCTCCAAGAATAGTTGAATCCCTGCAAACTCAGCCATATACAAGAAAGCCCAGCCAGACTCAGCAAGCCCAGCCAGCCCCCACCAAGCCCAGCCAGCCCCCACCAAGTCCAGCCAGCCTCCACCAAGTCCAGCCAGCCCCCACCATGTCCAGCCAGACCTCAAGAAGTCCCACCAGCCCCCAGCAAGCCCAGCCAGCCCCCCCACCAAGCCGAGCCAGTTCCAACTAAGTCCCACCAGTTCTCCAGCAAGTCCAGCTACCCCCCATCAAGCCCAGCCAGTTCCAACCAAGACCAGCTAGCCCCCAGCAAGTCCAGCCAGCCCCCACCAAGCCCAGCCAGCCCCCCATCAAGCCCAGTCAGCCCCCACCAAGTCCAGCCAACCCCCACCAAGTCCAACCAGCCCCCACCAAGTCCAGCCCGCCCCCGCAAAGTCACACCAGCCCGCAGCAAGTCCAACCAACCCCCCATCAAGCCCAGCCAGCCCCCACCAAGTCCCACCAGCCCCCAGCAAGTCCAGCCAGCCCCACCAAGCCGAGCCAGCTTCAACCAAGTCCCACCAGTTCTCCAGCAAGTCCAGCCAGCCCCCAGCAAGCCCAGCCAGTTCCAACCAAGACCAGCCAGCCCCCAGCAAGTCCAGCCAGCCCCCACCAGGCCCAGCCAGACCCCCATCAAGCCCAGTCAGCCCCCACCAAGTCCAGCCAGCCCCCACCAAATCCAACCAGCCCCCACCAAGTCCAGCCAGCCCCCGCAAAGTCACACCAGCCCGCAGCAAGTCCAACTAACCCCCACCAGTCCCAGCCCGCCCACACCAAGCCCAGCCAGCCCCCACCAAGTCCAGCCAGCCCCCACTAAGTCCAGCCAGCCCCAACCAAGTCCAGCCATCCCGCACCAAGTCCAGCCAGCCCCCACCAAGTCCAGCCTCCCCCACACCAAGTCCAGCTAGCCCCCACCAGGCCCAGCCGGCCCCCACCAAGTCCAGCCGGCCCCCACCAGGCCCAGCCAGCCCCCACCAAGTCCAGCTGGCCCCCCACCAGGCCCAGCCAGCCCCCACCAGGCCCAGCCGGCCCCCCACCAAGTCCAGCCAGCCCCCACCAGGCCCCCACCAAGCCCAGCCGGCCCCCACCAAGCCCAACCGGCCCCCACCAGGCCCAGCCGGCCCCCACCAAGCCCAGCCGGCCCCCACCAGGCCCAGCCGGCCCCCACCAGGCCCAGGCAGCCCCCCATCAAGCCCAGTCAGCCCCCACCAAGTCCAGCCAACCCCCACCAAGTTCAACCAGCCCCCACCAAGTCCAGCCAGCCCCCGCAAAGTCACACCAGCCCGCAGCAAGTCCAACCAACCCTCCATCAAGCCCAGCCAGCCCCCACCAAGTCCCATCAGCCCCCAGCAAGTCCAGCCAGCCCCCACCAAGCCGAGCCAGTTTCAACCAAGTCCCACCAGTTCTCCAGCAAGTCCAGCCAGCCCCCATCAAGCCCAGCCAATTCCAACCAAGATCAGCCAGCCCCCAGCAAGTCCAGCCAGCCCCCACCAGGCCCAGCCAGCCCCCCATCAAGCCCAGTCAGCCCCCACCAAGTCCAGCCAGCCCCCACCAAGTCCAACCAGCCCCCACCAAGTCCAGCCAGCCCCCGCAAAGTCACACCAGCCCGCA